CATAATAAAATCCCATAATAAAAGAGCTATCGAAAAAAAAAAACTAATTAGAATAGCTGTGCAATAAAAATGAAGTATTTTTATCACTGTTTATAATGAATTAAACTGTCATAAATACTTGTTTAAAAGATCCTACCAATTTATGTGTGTTTGTGGTTGGGATATTGATTGCGAAACCATGGTTTCATTTGCCTAATCATATTTGGCTTTGATTCATAAAACAAAAATTAAAATAAAGTCTAATAATATTTAAAATTAATATTATTAATATTTTGAAAGCAATATAACTACGTTAAAAAATTCTACATTATATAAATCATATATTCCTTTTCGCATACAATTTTCTAAAAGTATATCCTACCAATTTAGGTCCACTAACACTTCCATTAATACAAATTACCAGACAGTGATGGTATCCGAGCAGAATTATTTGAAAACGCCAATCAGATCACCAATATATTTTGTAAAATTTGGTCTGAGGTACAAATTTATGAGAAATGGAGCCTACGAAAACTGTGACCATTGTACAAAAAGAGGAATCAAACTAGAATGCGATAACTACCCTATTAAACACCGCCTTATTGTTAAATATCTTTCATGAAAGATTGAACCCATACACCGAAGCATGCTTATGAGAATATCATGCAGGTTTCGGGCACGGAAGTTCGATTATTAACCAGATTTTTACAGTAATAAAATTGTTCGAAAAGCAGGCGAGTCAATCAGCATTGTGTACGATGTACCATCTTTTAGTCGTCTTTAAATCTATCATTATCAAAATACTTAGCTAACATAAGTCTATCTCTAACAACACGAATAAGAGTATATAGGACACTGATAGTTATTTTCATGTATTTCGATTGTTTAGTAATTTAAGAATTTATAAAATGTATTGTAAGAGAATTTAATCTTTTTAGGTTCTGGAGATTTGTTAGAAACAGCCCTTCCAGCAATATGTAGGGCAGCTCAAAGACTGCCCATTGAAGTACAAGCAAGTTTAGCACGACAGTGGTCTGGAGTAGCGCGAACAAGTATTAAAAGTATATTAGAGAATCTACAACAATTGATAACTTTACGTGTGATAATGACTCCCTTTCAAAGGGATTTTTTTCGTTCAAGACGAAATGTTATTACATCTGCAACAAAATTAATGAAGGTTAGATTTATTTTTTAAAAATCGTCTGATATTAAATTGTTTTTTCATCATCATTCTGGTGCTACAACGTTCTAGATCACTGGTACCCTTTCTTAAGTTGACAACACGTTTTATAAGGTTTTGTGCTAGCTTCTTAACCCGGCACTACATATGTGGGGTTTCATAAACCCCAGCTCCCAAATATCGCTCTTAAAATAAATCAAACGCAAACTTATGCGCACGTCCGCCCCAATAGCTTCCCAAAAATGTCCCCACCATCGAATTCAGGCGTTACCTAAGTACATTGTAGGCAGTGAGTGAAGTTACATGCGCCTGAAACGCTCTGGGGTGTGTCAAACCCCACCTATGTACTCGTGTTTGCAATTTTGACATTATAAGTAAGTTTTTATTTTTGACTTATTTGAATCTGCATATTCAATTGTTCAATTTTTTAGCTAAAATATCATGTCATACGAAGCGGAACAGAAAAAGCTTGAAGCTCTATGGGCTGAAATTGATGACGATGCCATCGAATCGGGAAGCGATGACGATATTGACCATATCTCTGAAAGCGACCACAACACCGACTCGGAGCAGGATATCGCAATAGAAGATGTAGTTTCTGACGGAGATTCAGACATGGAGACATCAAAAACAGAACTTCAGAATGAGACGGAAAATAAAAGCACTGACGGACCTCCAAGAAACGAAGAAATGTATCTCGGAAAAGACGGAACACAATGGAACAAACTTGCTTCAAATAATAAACGGGTTCGAACAAGATCAGAGAACATTATTACTCATTTGCCGGGTGTGAAGCATTATGCAAAAAATGCTAAATGTGCTTTAGATTGTTGGCAATTGTTTTTTGACCGACAAATGATCGAAGACATAGTGCGCTGGACCAATCTCAAAATTCAACAAAAATCAATTGCATATCAAAATAAATGCATGGTGAAACCAACCAATGAATGTGAAATTAAAGCATTTATCGGACTTCTTTATTTAGCAGGTATGTTTCATTCTAATCGTCAGAATTTGAGAGACTTATGGCAAACAGATGGAACTGGTGTCGGTATATTCCGCAATACGATGTCTATAAATCGTTTTCAATTCCTGATGGTCTGTCTTCGGTTCGATAACATCGAGAATCGTAAAGACAGATTGGCGATTGACAAATTAGCTCCAGTTCGTGAAATTCTGGACAAATTTATTAAAAATTGTAAGCAGGCCTACACTCCTTCTCAATATGTGACGATAGATGAGAAGTTGGAGTCTTTTCGTGGAAGATGTGCTTTCAAACAGTACATGCCTAACAAGCCTGCAAAGTATGGGATCAAAGTGCAAGCTATAGTTGATGCCCGTTCGTACTACGTTTTAAATTTGGAAGTGTATGCAGGAAAACAGCCAGAAGGTCCCTACAGTGTTAGTAATTCCCCAATAGATATAGTAGAGAGGCTAATACAACCTATTTCTGGTTCCAACCGAAATGTGACCTTTGACAACTGGTACACTAGTTATGAATTAATGATAAAATTGCTGAACGAGCATAAACTTACGTCAGTAGGCACGCTGAGAAAGAACAAACGATGCATTCCAGCACAATTTTTGACAGTCCAGAACAGAGAACAAATGACATCTTTATTTGGCTTTCAGAAAGATATTACACTTTTATCGTATGTGCCGAAAAAAAAATAAAAACGTCCTACTGTTGTCCACCATGCACCATGATGGAGCTATTGATGAAGC